TTAGGTATTTAAACACTTTTTATCATTGGAGTAATAAGTAAACTACCATGTATCGTGCTGCAAGCTTTAGGTTTTTAGTTTTTCTGTTACCGTATTTTATTATTTTAAAAATATATTTTATTATTTTATTATCTGATGGCATAAACTTCACGTGACTTGTTGGAACAAAAACAACACACAAAAAGATGAGAAAATTTTCCTTGAAAATAGTACGCTTTTCGTTTAACATATTTAATATTTAGAGGGGGATGTAATTACATTTAGAGACCCACACTTAGATTTTGCCAATTATATTTATATTATACATAGAGGTAGATATCTTTTTTTAACTCAAATAAATAAAGGTGGTGTTATATGGATAATTTTTTATATTATTTTTTTATATAATTTTTATATATTATTAAATAAATTGATACATTTAATATATATCATAAATTTCACATAAATTAAAAGAATTAATTATTTTAATGACATATCAAGTGGGACAAAAAAATTATACAAAAATAATTTCCCAACAAATAATGATGAACAATAAGACTAATTATACTTATCACAATTATATATGTATATATATAAGTAGATTTTTCCTCTTAATTTAGACATACAAGCATTAAATTGACTAAAAAAACTTAAAAACCTTGAATCACTCTCCTCGACAAAATATCCAAATCTACTCTTAAAAAAAAGTGAGTAGGAATAGATTTACCTTTCAAAAAAGTGTAAGGGTAAATTACCCCTTTAAATAATAAATCAATACAAATCACTTATTTTTTAAAGAATTTTATCAATTTTCATTTAAAAAATACTTATGTGACAAATAAAATTCGTCAAAAATTAAGTAATTTATATTGATTTATAATTTAAAAAAATAATTTATCCCTACACTTTTTTGAGAAATAGATGTGCTCTTACCCACTATTTTTAAAGATAGATTTTGGGGTTCTATCCTCTCCTACAATCATTAAAAACATTGGAAATGATAATTCTAAGAGGAGGAAGTGATACAAAAATAATTTTTTTATATAATTTTTTATATAATTTTTTATATAATTTTTATTTATCGTTAAATAAATAAATACACTCAATATCATAAATTTTAAATAAATAAAATGATTTAATCTTTTAAATTACATGAAAAGTTATAGCAAATGATAATACAAAACAAAGTATATTTGAATCATTTTCCTTCTAATAGTTATTACTATAACTGACTCAGTAATGACAACCAACAAGAATAATACAATGATTTTAGCTATGTCTCCGATTACCTTCTACACTTCGTCCTCAATGGAAATTGCTGCATCTGCTTGATCTTGCACATCTATGACAACAGAGTCTTTGAGATCCAGTTGGCACGTTGCCTCCAGTTCTGACTGTAGGACTGCCTGGTGCGTGGTGGTTGTGGTGTGGCTAAACGCAGCGGGGGTTGGACCGCCTCGAGAAGGCGAGAGCGGGGCATGGCGGCTGTTGGGGCTAGTCGTAGCCGCAGCAGGGGTTGGACTGCCTCCAGGTCCCTCGCAAGAGGAAAGCTCAGGCTCCCCGGGACGGCTGTGGCTGTCGGTAGCCAGATGTCGTCTTGGGTTATAAAGAGATTGGAGCAGCTGAAGAAGACGCTCATGAATGATAAGTCTCTTGAACAGACACCAAATGAAGGCAAGAAAAACGAAGAGGCAAGCAATGACAATCACAACAACCGCATTACTACTCAGACCACTTCCACTGGCGTGGAAATGGTGGTAGTCGAAATCAACACTAAAATTCGACTTTTTGGTTGTTTGAAGCAAGATGTGGAGATAAGAGGGTTTCATTTTGCTGGAGAAAAAGGAATGAGAATGGGAGAAGGTTTATATGGCTTTTATAGTCTGTTTGGGATCAAATTAATGATCCCGTGTTCCCGATTGATGTCTGGACAGGGAAGAAAGTGGGTCTTTTCTTAGATTTCCCATTTTCTTAGGTTTCCCATTGAATTCTGAATTGACGGTTCCATAGAATATCCCGGTTTCGGTTTTCGGTTTTCGGTTTTTCGGTTTTCCGTTTTCGTGATGAGCCTCAGATTCCATGACAGTCCACTTATGTGTAGTGTTATTGGTTGAAACCTGTCCTGCCATAAATGCAAAATACTTATGGGTGACAGCCGACCGTCCACTTATGTGTAGTGTTATTGGTTGGAACCTGTCCTGCCATAAATGCAAAATAATTCTGGGTTACAGCCGCCATAGTCCCTCTACTTTTAATTTTTATCCATGTACGTCCCTCTACTAAGGATTTGTTCACTGTCATCCCTCTACTTCACCAAAAGCACTAAGTGTTGTCCCTGTTCCAATTATTTTGTTCGATGTATCCTTTCTCTGACGGAGTTGCTTAGTTGTCTATTTGAACCGTTTAATCCACAAATGATCACTTGTTAAAGCATTTCTTGGATTTTTTTTTTCATATGTGCTGCCAAGTAGGAGAGACGCACCCTTTCGTCAATGTCCTGCTCCACTTCCTTTTTCAAATTCAATAATTTATGTTGTAAATTTCTAATCTTATCTCTTATATTTATTTGTTTTTACAGTAATTCACGTTTAGTCCAACTATTATGAACTAGTAATTTTTAGTTAAAAAGGTGAATTGTATTTAATACTACTATATAATGTATTCATAAGTATATATATTGAGTTGATAAATTGTACATACTTGTCTGCTAAAAACGTGCTAGTCAATATCAAAGTGCTTGTCTGGTCTAAAAAATAATAATAATAACAATAATTAATAAAAATAAAAATCAAAGTGCTTGTCTTCTAGCGTGGTAAACGAATCGTTTTAAATTGGCAATATGCGATAAAGTTACATGTACCGTGCCAAATTCCAAAATTGAGTATTCAAATTTTCAACCGAAAATTTTGCTCAATGTATCTTCAGTGTACGGCGATTGATTCAAACAGCACACACGGAAATATTATCAAATCTTCTAAAATTCCAAACAACTTTGGTTAGCTTTTTGTTTGTATCAAAAATTAAAATGAAAAATTATCGATATATTTTTTAATTTAACACAGTTATTAATATTTACCTATTCATTCATTAATTTTTTTTGTCTTTAATTTAAATTTAAAAATATTTTTTTAATGAGGGTGTTATGAAATACATTAAGACAAAGATGCTTCCCATCCTTTTTATGGTTAAAGGATTCAATTAATGGTTGTGAATTTTCTTTATATGATTGAAATTGTAAGCCTACATTATGTGCTAGATCAATAAATACATAATTGTGTTATTTCTTTGGTACCAATAAGATTTGATGTGAATAAATAGAAATACCCTTTATACTCCAAATTAATACAATTAATTTTAGTTGATAAAAACAAATATTGTCCAATCAAAATAAGTTTATTGTTAAAGAAAGATGGGAGGCATCTCTCTTGATACAAAGCTATATATCTTCCCACCAATAATTTTTATCTTGTCGTTTGATTTACTTCAAACTAGAAAATAAAAAACTTCTTATTGTTTTTGATATCATGTGTCATTGTTTTATTTGCATATTTCTCTTTCATTCCATTTAGTATCATTGCACATATGTATATTTACTTTATATATATATATGAAATTATTGTTTATGTACTTTAGCCATTGTACTTTTGGAGTTTATTGAAATAAGTACTTTTACTTTTTTTATTTGAAATTTATTAACTTATGTACTCTTATGTTAAAATAAATCACTCCACATATTTTTTTTATTAAAATAAATCAACTTAAATTTAACAAATGAAGTCATGACACATCATAATTTCATAAAATCCATTGCACAAGTATTAAGTTCTTGATGATTTGGCAGCCCTATTTACGTGACATGAAAATTTTTTATGCTAAAAATTGATGACATGAAACATTTCATATAACTAGTAATTTTCTTTGTATTGTCATTGAATAGCGTCCAGATTAGCAACAAAATTTCCACGCCACATAAACAGTATATGTTAAATTATCAGAACCTTAATGCCTATACAATGAGTTTCATGGAATTTTGACTTGTTGTAATGTCATTTATTAAATTTATGTTAATTTACTTCAATTGAAATGCACATGGAGCAATTTATTTTATTATAAAAATACGCATGTTGATAAATTTCAAAAAAAGAAAAATAGAGTTGTTCATTTTAATTAGTCCAAAAAATATAAAGACTAAAGTGCCTCTTTACCTTTAAAAAATTTAAAAAATTATTTTAAAATTATATCATTTAAATAAAACACTACGGAAGTATCAAAACCTTTAATGCAAAATTATACCAAAAGGGCTTAAATGCATTAGTTTTAGGTCAAAGGCTTACACATTAATATATTAATATAAGGTGAGTTTGAGAGCATAAGACTGGTTTTTGCTTTGGATTACGATGGGGACTTGAGGAAAGTCGATTTTTTTTTTTTTTGACAAGAGTAATAGTTAAAAAGTTAGTAGAGTTAGTTATTAGCAACTGGAATTTCTCAGAATGGCGAACATTTCACCCCCTCAGATGAGGCGCACGGCCATTAAGTCGCAAATTGATGGAGTTCATGACGGTTGCAGAACTCGAAACCTTAATCTCCGCCTCATCCAAGCCTTAAGGCTTGGGGGCTAATCATTGGGCCTCAGGCCCGATTAGCGAGGAAAGTCGACTTGTGTGAAAAACTACCAATCAAAGAGCATGTGCACGTACCAACGAGAGGTTGAATCAAGTAGTAAGCGGTTTATTCCAACTTAAGTAAGATCTCGAATTCAAGATATTGTGTATGCAGCAGTTCCCGCTGAAAGACTAACCCACCATTTCAGATGCGTGACGCAAATCTGATCCGGATTAATCGGGGGCAAAGCCCCGATACCCGGCAGAAAACCTAAAATACAAAAAAAAAGAAAAAGAAAAAAGCATGTGCATGTACACCATTTTGTACGAAACTTGGTGTTGACTGGTAGCCTGGTCGTTTTGGAAAGTACGTACCACCTAAAAAAATTGATTATAACCTCCAAAAGTGACAGCATGACAAACAATGATTTGATTTGAGCATTCTGACATCTTAAAAAACGTAGTGTTTGTCGCCATCCCTGTTGAGATAACGATCCCTACACAACGCCAAAACTCGCCGTGACCTTAGTGGTTGAAAATCTAAGTTAAGTACTTATCTCTTTCCAATTGCAGAGGTTCGAATCTTAGCAGTAGCAAAAACGCAAAATGTTAATCCCTACACAACAAAACATTAAGGTTACACAAATCATGATTTTTTTTCTTAAAAAATAATTAATTATGGTGTCTAAAAATATTAGCTCTAGGTTAGTTTTAATTTATTAAATAATAATATTAATTCTTTTATTATCTATTAACTAAAAACTTCAAATGTTATTTGTTGAAAACAATCCAACTAAACAAAACTTTTTTTTTTTTTTTATAAAGGCAATTGTTAGTATGTTAGTATTGTTAGATGTTAGCAATTAGGGATTCAATCCCCAGATTTAATGAACAGCCGACCGACCTTGATGAGATGTGCGACCATCGGACCGCTTGATGGAGTTCCAACTAAACAAAACTAACCCCAACAATATATTTAAAATAACTTTAAAATAAAAATATATACAAAAAAACTACATAATATAAATATCAAATAAAAAAATCAAATCCCATATACACACAGGCTAAATAATTAAAAAATAAATAAATAAAAATAATATTTAGTTTTATTTGTTATTTGATTATAATTCTAAAGCAATTGAAATAAAAGATTTGAAG